GGGATCTCGCGGCACGCTTCTCGGAGGCCTGTCGAATACGGTTTTGAAACCACTTGGGGGCCGTTTCGGAGCCTCTGAGGGGCTTCTTGGGGGTTCCTTGGGGCGTCTTGGGGGCCTCTTGGGGGCCTCTGGCGGCCTCTTGGGGCACGCTTGGGGCGCACTTGATGTTTTGAATGTTTGGCGGCCCGCTTGGGCCCCTATTGGTGCCGTCTTGGGGCCCTCTTGGGCCGTCTTGGGGACCTCTTGGGCCGTCTTGGGGCCATCTTGGGCCGTTTTGGGGCCGTCGTGTAAGCCTTTTGGGCCGTCTTGGGGCTGTTTTCGGGGCCTCTTGGGCCGTCTTGGAGCGTCGGGAAGCCGAAAAGGCGAAAAGACAAACAACCCCGAAAAACACAATGGACAATCAACAATTTTAGCCTCCCGGGGCCCTCTTGGGAGGCTTGTTTGTGACCTCTTGGGCCGTCTTCGAGGCCTCTTGGCCCGTCTTGGGGTCATCTTGGGCGTTTTGGAGCGCTGGTTTGGCGTCTCAGGGCCCTCGTGGGCCGTCTTGGAGGCCTCTTGGGGCCTTTTTGGCCCATTTTTAGGCCTTCTTGGGCCCAGAAGAGCCCGTGAGTCGCTCGTCGGGGGTCCCCCCCCCCCGTCCGAATCGACCGGACGGGGCTCCCGGGGGAAGGGTTTGGGGAGGGGGGAGCATCTCACACGCCGATGATCCCCAAGGGGTCGGCGGACTTTTTCTTTCATAGCGGTTCGCTAGAGGATTCGAGGAGGCTCACATATTCTTCGCACCAGAAACTCTCGACAGAGGGGGTGGCCGGAGGGAGGCGTCTCGCCGGTCTGGCAGCGGTCCAGGATCGATTCTCTACCGAGTTTTGGCTCGATTCCAGCCTTCGCAGATCCAAACACAAGACTCACTATTGTGTTCTGGCTCGATGTGGCTTCGAAGTGAGACTCGCGTTGATGGTCTGGTTCGATGTCAGCCCTCCCAGATACAGACATGAGACTCACTGTGGTGCTCTGGCTCGGTTTGGTCCACAAATGGGACCCACTATGGCTCTCTGGCTCGATTGCAGTTCAAAGATTTCTCACACCAGAGTGTTCACAGGGGCTGCCGAGCTTTCTGGCTCGATGTCAGCCTTCGGTGATCCAGGCATGCGACTCGCTATGGCGTTCTGCTTGGATTCTCGCCGTGTAGAAGTTCTTGCAGGGGCATCGGGGTCTCACCATTCCAGCTGTCCTGTTCTGGCTCGATTTCAACCTTCGCAGATACAGAAATGATATTCACTGTGGTGTCCTGTACCGATTTCAGCCATCGCAGGTCCAGAAAAGGTTGCAGGGGTATCGGATTCACACCACTCCAGCTGTCCCAGGTCTAGAAAATGTGGCAAGGCCAGGTTTGCTTGTTTGGGTTCCCTTCACCTTATGCTTCCACAGCAAGTTCTGAGGATGTCTCAGTCGAGGCGCTGCAACTCAAAAAGGGGAGGCGCCCGGTGGGTATCTCAGGGGCCCGTTCGCGCCCAGATCGTGGGGACATCTCAGGCGATGTGCTTGTTTGCGTGCCCAACATCCTCTGATGTCGCAGCAGTTTGCGAGGCTGTGTCAGGCGAGGCGCATGATTGAGAACTCGCAAAAGGGGGGCAGGGAGGTATCTCACGGACCCGTTCGCGCCCAATGTGCGGGGATGTCTCAGGCGGCTTGCTCGCTTGGGTGCCCAACATATCAAATGGATGTTAATTGGGATCTCGTGGAATGCCTCACGTGGGCCTTTGGGAGGCAGTGTGGGGCCGTTTGGGGGCCTCTTTTGGCCTCTTTTGGAGCTCTTGGCGGCCTCTTGGGGTTTCCTGGAGGCCTCTTGGGGGCCTTTCGGGCTGCCTAAGCGCATTTTGGTGCCTCCTGGGGGTCTTTCGAGCGGACAGCTCGGATTTTATGTTCGTGCGCCCTCTCTTTGGCCTTTTTGGGGCCCTCTTGGGCCATCTTGGGCGCCTCTTGTGCCGAGTCGGGGTCCTCTTGGGCCGCCTTGGAGCACTTTTGGATGCGTCTTGGGCCTTCTTGGGGCAGTTCGGCTGATTTCTAGCGCCGTCTGGTGGCGTCGGGAAGCCGAAACGACGAAAACGCCCAAATCCCTTAAAGTCAGCGAGGTTTGCCTATTGGGGCCCTCCTGGGAGGCCTCTTTGAAACCTCTTGGGGCGTTTTGGAGGCCCCTCGGGCAATCTGGAGGCCATTTTGGAAGTCTTCGAGCGATCGTTCGGCGACCCGGGGCACTTTTGGACAGTCTTCGGGGCCTCTTGGAGCCCTCATGACCCGCCTTTGAGCCCTCCTGCGCTCGAATATGTCACGCGCCACCACTTGGCAAAGCCCAGGAGCCACGCGGGAAACCTCAGGGGGCACGCAGGAACCCCCAGGAGATGTCGGATTTTGGGGTCCGGGCCCCTTCAGATGAAAGAATCAGGCAAAAGGACTGGAAGACACGCAATCGTGTCCAGAGGCACGGTGGCGGAATCTCGTCATCGGAACGGTTCCTGTTGATGTCTCGGGCGAGTCGCCGGTCTCAGCATTCTCAAAGGGGGCGCGCCAGGGGGGTGATGATCTCACGGGCCCGCTCGCGCCCACCTGGTAGGGATGCCTCAAGCGGCTTTCCTGTTCAGATGCCCAGCATACTTCCACCGCCAGAGTATGTCCACATCCACCGCTTCGGAGTCATGCCCTGGGAGTTCGAGGAACGGTGGATATGGATATCTGCCCACCCGCGTTGACGCGCAGATATCCATATCCGCCGCTCCCCGAGTCCTCGGAACACGACCCAGCAGCAGTGGATATGGTCATACTCTGGCGGCGCAATACTTTGCTTTCGGAGCAGTTTGTAAAGTCGCCTCAGGCGCGGCGCTGGTCTCATCACCATCAAGGGGCGCCAGGGTGGGTATCTCACTGGCTTATCCGCGTCCAGATTGCGGGGATGTCTCAGTTGGTGTGCGTGCGTCGGGGCACTGACATGAGCCCTTTGGAGCTCTCTTGGCGCGTTCTCGGGGCGGCCCTTGGCGCATTTAGGGCCATCTTGGTCCCTGTTGGGCCCCTCGTGGCGCCGTCTTGGGCCATTTTGGAAGCGGTCTGGGACCTGAGTTCCTCGGAAGCGAAACGGCGAAATGGCAACACACATAAAACAACACGCGGATTTTGCCGTTTCCCATGACGTGCAGCAGCCTTGGAACCGTCTTGGGGCTTCTTGGAGCCATGGTGGAAACTACATTGAACCATGTTGGGATACATTGGGCGATCTTGGAGGCCACTTTGGGGTCTCCAAGACCATCTTGGAGCCATCTTGCCTTCACGAAACGCCTCTTCCAGACTCAAGGGGGGGAGGGATGAGAGGGGCAGGGGGAACACCCTCACCGAAGGGGAAGACGCAGGGTTAGCAGAACGACCTCGTTAGACCACTCAGGCCCAGAAGGCTATGACTTCGTGTTGTCGGACGGGGGTCCCTGCTCGAACGAGGGCCCCCCATGTCCACGCCTGCTGCCCAAAGCCTGGTGTCCACACCTGTAGCGCCTCCATCGCCCTGCCCTCCCTCACTCCCTCCCCCTGTCGCTCTGAAGGCGTTGCTTATGGGTTGCGGTGACACCCCTCCGCCCCCTGAGAACCCCTTCTGCCCCCCACCCCCCTTCGCCCCCTCAGACCTCCTCCGCGCCCCCGTCTCTCTCCTCCGCCCCCCCCATCCCCTCTCCCCCCACCCGCACCCCACCCTTCGCTCCTCGCGGCCCACCCCACCCCCCGCCGCCCCCTCTCACCCTCCGCCCCCTCCGCCCACTTCTCCGCCCCCATCTTGTCGTCTCCGCCCCTCCGCCCCCCTCTCATCCCCCGCCCCCCGCCGCCACCCTCTTTTCTCAGATGGTGATGATTTCCCGTGCTCTGTTTTTGATTACACATAATATGGATGGGCGACCTTCCCAAGGATACCCTTGCATCCTTGTCCCTTCGGCCCATCCTTGGCCACATTCTCTGGCCGTGCCCCGCTCGAAAAGCGCCGAAATGGCCCTCCCAGGCCCTTGCATCCTTATCGCGACTCCTTGCTATACGGGTTGGTACAGGTACAGGTACAGGTACAGGTACAGGTACAGCCTGCATGCCGGCTCCAGAGGAGCGGTCCCTCAAAGGGGCAGGCGGCGGCACAGGACAGTGAAACGTGTCTTGGGTGAAAACTGCAGTATAAATCGCTCACTTCTGGTAGAAGACGACAGACACGTGTTGGTACGTGGATTGCAACAGGAGACAGAAGACGAACGAGACAAGAGATAAACATTCACCCGATTGGGTATGACAACGAATCTCCCCATCTTGAATAAGGCTTGCCTGGGCGACGAACAGCGGCGCAGCGAAACCATTGCCTCCACGTCAGGAGTCGGCGGCTCCACTTCTCCTCTGCCCCAGAAGACACCTTCGTCGCAAACGTGAACTTCCGAGAAGCATGTGCAGTTGCCCAATTCTGAAAGCCCCACTCCGCACACGCAGATTCCACCCGGATTGTCGCTCTTTTGATGTACTCAACCCATGACTCCTCTGCGCCCCGGGCCACGCGGAAGATCTTCCTGGCCATCTTGCGCCAAGCTACTCTCAACTTGCTCCCGTCGACGGCACCGAGGGTCCAGCATTCGCTGCCGTATAGGGCCGTGGGCGTGACGACTGCCTCGAACAGCCTGAAGCGCGACCTCAGCGGGTATGATCGAGAACACAATACGTCTTTGAACTTTGCAAAACATCTCCATGCTGAAGACAACCTGCTGGACAGCTCCGCTTCATGGTATTCGCCCATGCACAAAATTCGCCCCAAATACTTCTCTTTGCTCGTCTTCGGGTTGACTGTCTGTTTCATTTTTGTTGGACTCTGTGCATTATTCTTCGTCCAAAAACCGCCTGGCAGGAGGACATGCCCGACCTGACTCTTGTCTCTCCCCAAGCACTGGGCTTTGGCGACCCCGTGCTCCGCCCCCCCAGGGCCCCCCCCACTCCGCGAGGCGGGCCCGGGGGCCCTGCCGCCCTTGCCGCCGGCCCAGCCTCGCGCGGCGGCAGGCCCTCGCCCGCAGCCACCCCCCATCCAGCCAGTCGTGTTCCATCTGAACACGCCCTCCGCCTCGACTCCTTCTTCGCCCTCCTCCTCCTCCTCGACTCCTCCTCCACGACTCCCCCTCCTCCTCGACTCCGCCTCCTCCTCCTCCTCCTCGACTCCTTCTTCTCGACTCCTCCTCCTCCTCCTCCTCCTCCTCCTCCTTCTCGACTCCTGCTCCCCCCCTCCTCCTCCTCCTTCTCCTCCTCCTCCTCCTCCTCCTCCTCCTCCTCCTTGACGTTTCCTTGACGTTTCCTTCTTGACTTCTCCTCCTCGACTCCTCCTTCTCCTCCTTCTCCTCCTCGACTCCTCCTCAACTCCTCCTCTCCATCTTCTTCCTCGTCTCCTTTCCGTCACCCTCCTCCTGCTTCTCTCCTCCTCCTCCCCGACTCCTCCCCGTCCCCCCCCAGTCCAGTTCCCCACGAGTATGTTCGCCCTCTCGCGCCCCGAGTCGTGTCGGTCGGGCGGTGCGGGCGTTTCGCTCGAGAAGTCCCCACCATATATGATATTGGCGTGGAATCTCTGCAAGAGTTCGCGGATGGACAGGCCTCGGAAAAAATAGCGAACATTCATGCCACATTCATGTGTCAACGCGTCCCCCTCCCCCCAATGTTCAAAGTTTGCGGTGGGTCTGCTGAGCTGCACCTCGACCACAGTCTCCCCCGCGCGTGCCAACTGTTGAGTTTGGAGGGCAGGGGGGGGGGTCACTGATTGCTGCCCTCTACCGGAGTTCGCGGATGCATGGCGGGTGGTCAGCGCCCCGAATCATCAGGGGTAGCTCGGGTCAGGGCTAACTCGGGTTCGTTTTTCGGGATTCCGAACCCGAGTTTCCCCGGGCACGAGTTACCCCGGGTAATTCGGGCGTCCAGGGCCCCAAATCATCAGGGGTAGCTCGGGTCAGGGGTAGCTCGGGTGCGGGGATCCCAACCCGATTTACCCCAGACCCGAGGTGGTTTTTCGACGTCGGGTCCTCGCCCGAGAGCAGCGCACATTCGTGTCCAGTGCCTGCAAGGAGTTGTTTCACGGGCGGCGGGCGGGCCGCTTCCAGAGTGCGGCTCTCTCGCTGCCGCGCAGCGCGCGGTCGCTGCAACACGTCCGCCAGAATTGTCCACGGGTGGTGGGCGGCTCCTTCTCGAGTTGCGGTTCTCTTCGATGCTCGTTTTGGGGACATTCCTGGGGGCCACCTAATGGATCTGTTCGACTCAGGTTCGACTCAAGTTCGACTCAGGTTCGACTCAGGTTCGACTCAGGTTCGACTCAGGTTCGACTCAAGTTCGACCCAGGTTCGACTCAGGTTCGACGCAGCTTCGACGCACGAGTGAGGCGAGTGGCTCCGGGAAGGTCCCCCAGAATGAGCATCTGAGGTGCTCGTCTCGGCGCCGCACGCATCCGTCTTACAGTACAGCAGCACAGGGGTTTCACGGAGAGGGCGGTTACTTGTCAACGTGTGTTCTCGTCTTTAGCGCCGCGCAGATGCAGTTTGAGGGTGCACATCTGTTTCAAGGGTTCTCATGTTTAGCGTCCCAGAAGTTGTCTTTTGGCACGATGTTGGATTGTCAGGGCTCAGTGGTTATGTTGATTCGCGCTGCTGAAGTCCCGGAATGCCCTGGCTCGACTCAGGATCGTTAAGACGCAACAGTATCGGTAATTCGCGGACTTGAAGCCCCAGGAATGGTGTATTGGCACAGGTCACGATTTTCAAGCAGTATCTGGGCATTTCCATGAATCCGTGTAGCGGTCTGTGAAAGGGGGATTTTGGACGGAGGGTTGATTGCAATATCGTTGATGAGTCTTGGGTTTACTGGTCGTCCTCGCTCCTCGCCCACCTTTTGTGGATGTCAGGCCATCTTGAAGCACTTTCTTAGGTCATCCTCGTTCCTCCTCTTGTTCCTCACCTCCTCCCCCCTCCCGTGGACTACTTGAGTGGGTTCCCGCCTGTTACGCGCATGCAGCCGAGTGTGTGTGTGTGTGTGTGCGTGCGTGCGTGCGTGCGTGTGTGTGTGTGTGTGTGTGTGTGTGTGTGTGCGTGCGTGTGTGTGGTCGTCAGTTCTCAGAGGTCATCGGGCTGGGGGGCTCCAGCATAGCAGAGGTAGGACACAAGCTCTCGCCTCCCCCCCCTCCCCTTCCCCCCCCCCACTTCTCCTCCTCCCTCTCCTCCTCCTTATCGAAGAAGAAAATACAGTTCAGAACACGATAGAAACTTGAACTGTCAGCGGTTACCATTACCCACGGCCTAACCCCCTCTCCCATGAGTAACGACCGTCACCAGAAATCATAAAGACATCTCGGGCGTAAACGTATCTGTTCGGAGGTCCGCGCGGATCTTCTCGGTCTGCGCTGGACGCTGGACCTGGAGGCAACGCCAGTTAATCATATACTTGGCATCCGTGTACATTTGTTCTCGGTGAGGACCATCGCGTAGCATGTTGGATCATCTGGCGAACTATCCGGGCGATCGGCCCAACCATATGTTGTCGTGGGTACCGCGTTGTGGGCACCGCTTTCGGTGGAGCCCCCTACGGGGCCGCGAAATGTGTGAGTGGTGAGCGGGGAACCGCATGCAGACCGTGCCATTGGCGCCTTCGGTGGAGTTCCCTACAGGGCCACGGGACGTGTGAGGGGTGCGCAAAAATTGGCGAAGGACAGCATGTGGACCCTGCCACTGGGGCCTTCAGCGGAGCTCCCTATGGGGCAACGAAGCGTTTGAAGGGTGCGCCGACATGGGCGGGGAAACGATCGTGGATCCTGCCATTGGGCATTCGGTGGAGATCCCTATATGGGCCACGGAACGTGTGAGGAATATGCCTACATGGGCGGGGGAAAGCATGTGGACTCCGCCATTTGGGCCTTCGCTGGAGCTCCCTATGGGGCCACGCAACGTGGACGGACCGCATGTGGACCCTGACACAGGGGCCCCTCTATGGGGCCACGAAACGTGTGGGCGGGGGGCAGCCGCATGTGGACCCTGCCACTGGGGCCTTCTGCTGGGCTCCCTCTGGGGCAACGAAACGTGCGAGGAGTGTGCCGAAACGGGCGGGGAGCCACATGTGGACCCTGCCCTTGGGGCCTTCGGTGGAGCTCAGTACGGGACCACGAAATGTTGTACTTGGTGTGCGGACGTGGTTGACCTGCGGAGGGGAGAGGTCATGGTGGGAGGAGGGATGGGGGGCCCGAGAAGGAAGGGGTGAGACGCGGCGCGCTGTCTCTTGAAGAACGAGGGCCCGACACCCCAGGATGGCTGGGGAAAGCAGAACACAGCACGAAACCGAAACTTGCACGTAGAAAGGACGTCCGATGGATCGCACGTATACAGTCGGGGCGCTGAAGAAGGAACCCGTTTTCGTTGGGGAGGGACTCGGTGATCTTTGATTGGTTCACAGTATGGCCCCGATTTGCCGTAGGTTCCCGACGGACGAATCGAAGGTTCACTGATGGATGAAATGGGCCTCGTTCCTTATTCAGGGTTCCTTTTGTCAACGCCCCGATGATGCTGATGATGCTGCTGATGATGATGGTGATGATGTTGATGATGATGACGATGCTGCTGCTGATGATGATGATGATGATGATGATGATGGTGATGATGATCATGATCATGATCATGATCATGATCATGATGATGATGATGACGACGATGATGATGGCAGTCATAATAGTGGTGGTGATGCTGCTGCTGGTGATGCGAATACTCATCGGTCTCCGGACCGTCTCGCCCGCGGACCGCTGCGCCCGCGGACCGTCCCGCAGTTGCTGGGCCGCCCCGTCCCGCACCGCTCTCCCCCGCGCCGCCCCGCACCGGCCAGGACGGCGTCGCACCGGACCCCTGCCTTCTCCTCCTCCTCCTCCTCCTCCTCCTCCTCCTCCTCTTCCTCCTTCCTCCTTCCTCCCTGCTCCTCCTCCTCCTCCTCCTCCTCCTCCTCCTTCCTCCCTGCTCCATCCTCCTCCTTCTCTTCCTCCTCCTCCTCACCCGTGCGGGTGCGCCTGCCCGCTCGGCTGCAGTCCCGCTGGCCCGCTCTGACCTCCCGCGCTCGGCCCACCCGGTCGGTCCCCGCCCTCGAGGCTCCGCGCGTTGGGCTTCGCCCGCCGGGCCCGTCTGCCTCGGACCAGGTGGAGGAGGAGGAGGAAGGGGAGGAGGAGGAGGAGGAGGAGGAGGAGGAGGAGGAGGAGGAGGAGGAGGAGGAGGAGGAGGAGGAGGAGGAGGAGGAGGAGGAGGAGGAGGAGGAGGAGGAGGAGGAGGAGGAGGAGGAGGAGGAGGAGGAGGAGGAGGAGGAGGAGGAGGAGGAGGGAGGAGGAGGAGGAGGAGGAGGAGGAGGAGGAGGAGGAGGAGGAGGAGGAGGAGGAGGAGGAGGAGGAGGAGGAGAGGAGGAGGAGGAGGAGGAGGAGGAGGAGGAGGAGGAGGAGGAGGAGGAGGAGGAGGAGGAGAGGGAGGAGGAGGAGGAGGAGGAGGCAGGAGGAGGAGAGGAGAAGGAGGAGGAGGAGGAGGGGGAGTAGGAGGGGGAGGATGAGGATGAGGAGGAGGATGTGGATGAGGAGATGATGAGGAGGAGAGACGGATGAGAGGAGGAGGAGGGGAGGAGAGGAGGAGGAGGAGGAGGAGGGGGAGGGAGGAGGAGGAGGAGGTGGAGGAGGAGGAGGAGGAGGGAGCAGGAGGAGCAGGAGGAGGAGGTGGAGAGAGGGGAGGAGGAGGAGGAGAGGAAGAGGAGGAGATGGGGGAGGAGGAGGAGGAGGAGGAGGAGGAGGAGAGGAGGATGAGGAGGAGGAGGAGGAGGAGGAGGACAAGGAGGTTTTTTTTTGCTGCAAGAACGATGCCTGGCGGTCCCCGCCCCAGCTCGCCACAAGAGAAAGAGGATGGGCGGGCACTCCGCCACGGGGTGCCTCCCGCCCCGTCCTGCCTCAGTCCATGAGGCACTCCCAGAAAGCGTCACACTCCTCCTGTACCAGGGAGCGCGGTACCGCTTCGAAGCAG